ATGCCTTATTTCTAAAAAGATTGATGAATTAGTGAAAAAGTAGTTGGTAAAAACATTGTTCAAAGAAACCCTCACACTTTCTTCTGTTGTGCCATATTTTAGAGAGAAATATGACCCAGTATCGAAATCAAGCCGCTACAAGATTGATGTTGGAGTACCTTTCATTTCGTTTAAAGAGGCGATAGGATGGGATTGGTAAGTTCGCTCCACTGGAGGTTGTGGGGGGTTGCCTTGGGGCTGTGCTTGTAGATTTGTGCTAATAGGTCCACGGTGCACCTCCCGGCGACCCCGATGAATCCTTACTGATCTTTCGTCCATCATGTGACGGACATCGTCAGAGCAGAACACCATGGTTAACGATAATTCACCACAAAACACAAAGGCTTTAAACCTACTTCCGTCTTTTAGTCCAATTTGGTCAACATAGGCATATCATATTCTTGTTGGATGCCCTATCCTTTGCATATATGTTTTCTCATAAATTAAATTAAGTGACTGCGAATGACATGTGAAGTGGCTGCAGATGAAGCGTGAAAATGGTGCAATTGAAAGCGAAAGGCTGCATCATCCCATAAAACACTTATGCCTTTGATCCTGCAATGCTACCGCATGTGATTGCGTCTGATTGCACACATGTTATGTGAGTGCATTGCTCTTGAAATGAATGTGATGTGAGAGACAAAACGGAATCCCAGCCTAATTAAGCTATCTCATCTTGCTCGGCAGTACTTTTCCTTCCCCCTTGTCTCCCTGCCTAAAACTATCCAAAAGACGCAAGTAGTTTTCATTTAACCTCCAACATTCATTCCTCATATGCAGACTGTTGCCTTGGAGCTGTGATTGTAGATGTGCGAATAGATCCACGGCCTACCGACCTGCGAACACAATGAATCGTTTCCGAGCTTTAGTCCGTCAGGTGACAAATATCATCAGAACAGTACACTTTGAAGGACATCACGATAATTCACCAAAACACGAGGGCAAGAACTATAGCCGGCTTTAAACATACCAACTTCTTATAGTAAAATTTGGTCCACTTAATTAAGCATATCATGCCTTGATAGGATATCCCAGTATTTGCCTAAATCTTTGCTGAAACGTCAAGATAATTGGCTCCGAACGACACGTAAAGTAGCCGCAGATAGTCTTCTCAGTTCCTGGTCCCGATGTTTAACAATTGCCAGACGCAGGCCCTATATTATCCTCGAGGTCGTAACTCCTACTTTAACCCCATAGACGTGGCTGGAGAAAAAATTCAAGAGAAAATCACTATTTGTGGGTTTCCTATATATATTTTTACCTAATCTCTCCCCCCCCTCTTTGTTAAATAGGACAGCAAGAAAATTTTAACAACCTTTCTTTTCAACTTCAATGATGAATTTCGCTTTTTCACCAAACCAACAAAATTATCCAGGTTTTCTTTGTTATGCTGTCAAATAGTAAAGTAGTCGTCCATAAAGTGAACTAATAATTGGGGAACTAAAGGTGCCTCGTGAATTGAGCATGGTAATTATTTGCTAAAATTGGTGACAAAAACGATCTCATAGCTAAACCTCGTGCTTGTTCGTACAAGTTAATATTGAAGGTGAAATATGTACATTACATCGCTAGGTTGGTCAGCATCATTATTGACCATTTACTTGACTTCGTGCTCATTAGTGTGGATTGCAGGGCCTGTATGGCATCGTTAGTGTGCATAGACTCAACGTCAAAACTTACCTGCAAATCCCTACATTCAATCTTCTGCTCGTCGATTAAGTTAACGAATTCATTCTTAATTGAAACCTTCCATGTCTAAGATACTTGCTTTAACCGGTTACAAATAAATCGTGATTTTTAATGCATCACGCTTCCCTTATTATTCACAATAATTTTAATTGGTACTCCATCTTTGTGTATTCTCGGCAAACCATATGCATTCTGAGGCCTAGCATCTCGTTGAAAAAGTGTTCATCTTCCACTCCTGCAGTTCCCCGTTTCTTACACAATAGTCTAAGCAACCCCTGAGCCCCGACTTTAGGGTTCATGTAGGGTCTTTACTGATTACCGAGTTTATAGTGTTATCCAAAGCCTGCATCATTTTTTAGATTGCTCAATCTATCCATAACTACCCCTACTCCTTCTTTGCCTGCCCTCAACATTTATTTCTTCTATGCTATTTTTCCCTCTTTTATTCCTAGGTGTTATTTATACATGACCATCAATTAGCGAACGACGTGTAATTGAATTACGTTACTAGTCTCTTCTGGAAGATGGTCGATAAAACCTATAAGTTCAACCAGGATCTCTTCCCTATTATCTTTACTCTTTGATAGAGCAAAGCACAAACCTTTTGGTAACGTCCAAGGCTGTTTTGTAGAGGCTTGCCACTTTCTCACTAACTATCCTTTATTCCCTGTTATCTATCATAGACTTATTTTGATTAGCCTTTGCTCTGATTCCCATACCCAAATTTATAAGTTTCTTATCATGTCTGAATCTTACCTGTTGAAAAACAATATCATACAAACTTTACGCAATTCTTTCTCATTTAGAGAAATCTTCATATCTAAAAGTGCTCGCTGGATATGGTACATGTTCTATTAAAAGGAAGATAAGAGAAGCTAATGAAATTAATAGATTATGGAATACGTAAGGAATAGTGGTAGAAAATTGAGTAACTACTTATGCTTGATTGGTAGATTGAAAAAGAGAGAGGGTATTGAGATGCCATCCAAAAGAAGGAAGCTTAAATTTTTCGGCTCAGTTATTGTCCTAACTCCGCTCACAATCGTCTGACATGTAAGCTTATGCTCAATATCCAAACCAGACTTACAAGATTACGCAGTCCCAGTCATGTCTTTCCTTGGATGATTAACTTTTAATGACTA